ATCCAAGAAGACAAAGTCAAGGAGAAGGCAAGCTCGTTGCCGGAGGACGGCGTGCCGCCGGAAGTCGTGAAGATCCTCGTCGGCCAGCTGGACGACTCCCAGGAGAAGCTGCAGCCGCAGAAAGCCGCCACGCCGGTTGACGGCCTGAGGACCATCGACCAGGCGCTTGAAACCATAACGGGGGTGTTTGTTCAGTTGTAGAGTTTCGGGGCAAGCAAGACCGTTTGCGAGAGCCGCCTGAATCCTGCGGTCAGGCCGGCGCCACCTTCTCGACGCAGCGACCGCGAGCCATTGTGGCGGAGGGCAGCAGCCTCGACCGGCAGGACCAGAATACCGTTGGCATGGCAGCTCTCACAAGCTTGGAGGCAGAGGAGCACGTCTCCAAGAAGACAGCAGAGACCTTCGTGGCGACGACCGGGAACGTTCTCATCGACCAATTCCAGCCCCGTTACTTCGCCATGGCCTTCGCCTTCTGCTTCAAGTACGGCACCGCGTGTCCAGACGTTTTCAACACCGCCTCGAAGGACCCTTCGACCAGTCGCAGACGCCAGAAGGACTCTGAGGCTCCGACCGTCCACATCCACGACTGGGCCGCCATCATGAGCCGCCGAGTGGAAGCCCAGTTCCGCCGAGACTGGAACTTCGGTTTCGTTCTGTGGAATTATCTCTTTCGGACAATGGTGAATCTTGATGGCAACACCTCCTTCCACTCCCAAGGCGGCAAGAATTTCACGGACGAGGAGATCCTTCAGGGGTCGACGGAGCTTCGAGATCAGCTGGTGCGCGGGAAGTACACGGACATCACCGGCGCCCAGAAGAGCGTGCAAGGCGATCTCTCCAAAGTCCAGCACGTGCCGGGGCTATCGGCGGCGGCGAAGAAGATAGCGCAGGACTGCAACGCCAAGTGCCGCAACATCCCCGGAACCCACGAGACCAGGAACCTCATGCGGCAGCAGACCCACGCTTACAGGGTGTGTTACGGCACTTCCGTCTTTCTGACCTTTTCGCCCTCGGAGAGGGACTCCACGCTGATGCTGAGGCTGGCAAGAACTCGAGACTCGGACCCCGCCCTGCAGCAGAGCGGCAACCCGACTTGCCAGGAAAGAAGCCAACCGCCGCTGGACAAGGATTTCCTGGAGCTGGACCCACAGGTGCTGGCCCACATCCTGCCAGACTACGACGAGCGCCGGGCAATCCTGGCCAGAGACCCGCTTGCCTGTTCTGATGGCTTCTGGACGTTGGTGCAGTTGGTCTTGCGGCATCTCTTTGGCATCCGCTGGTGCCCCAATTGTCCGAACTGCGCCATGTCGGACCGGCCCTGCACGGATGCGTTCGGGAGCAATGCGACGGCCATGGGCGGAGTACTGGGCAGAGTTGACGCGGCCTTCGGCTCCATCGAGTGCCAGAGGAGCGGCGCTCTGCATGCTCACTTCCAAGTCTTCGTGCAGTGCCTCCACCAGTTCACGCCCCTCTCGGAGATCGTGGCGCTGGGCAGAGAGGCTTACATGGATTTGGTGGAGAAGTACAAGACCTACAACGCCCACGTGAGGCGCACCGTGTACTGCAATCCCTCAGCCTGGCAGACGGAGCGCGATGCCGTGGAAAAGGAATGGCCCGAGTACCGGAACTCCGTCCTTATGCTCAGTCGGCCCGGTTATCAAAGCGATGCCCGGCTCCCCGCGGAATCCTGGAGACAGAAATACTTAGAGGAGGACGTGGAGGAGCTCCAGAA